AGATTTGGTTCTTGCTAGTTTATTCGGTCTGACCATCTTTGTGAGTTAAATTTGCAAGCTTGGTATTTGGATCTATCTTTTCTTCTCTTTTGTCTGCCATTTTCCCCTTTTTCTGATTTTTTTTGCATTGAGTAATTTTTGTGATTTAATTTTATCTTCCCTTTGGCTTATTAACTATTCCTCTTTGTGTGTGTGTGTGTGTGGTTGCTATTGGGTCTATAGTACATCACTTAAGCATATCACAATCTACCTTCAAGTAACACTATGGTGAGCCCACAACTTACACTTGCACATTTGCCTTTGTGCACTGGTGTATTTATCCTCACTGCACACAGTTTGAGAAGTGGTTTGCAAAGGCTGTTGATTTTTAAAATGTATCTCTTTTATCCAGATACCTATTTAATTCCATTTTTAATTTAAAAAGTTTTTCAGTTGATTTGTTGGGTGCTCTGGTCCTCTCATCACATCATCTGTGAATCATGGTGAATTCGTTTTCACAGTTCCATAGTTAGGTACTTCTGGCTTTTGTTCATGTCTCATTGAACAAATCAGACTTCTAGAATCACAAAAAAATCTTACTTTATTTCTAATTTCAACGGGGATACTACTGCTGGTTAACGAACATGTATTAGCAGTTATCGTGTGTCAGGCACTGTTCTCAGCGCTTCACCTGAATAATCTTATTTCACCGTCACAACACTGTAAGGTCATTATCTCCAATTCTCAGCGAGGAGACTGTGGCCAGAGAGGTTCAGTAACTTACCTAGAACAGGAAGCAGAGAGCTGGGATGTGAACTGTGGCTCTACAGACTGTTGGTCTGTACCTCCTGACTGGTGTGCTGGTAAGTGTTTAACATCCAGCTCTCTGAAAATGAGCCCTGGTTTGTCTGCCAGTTTTCATGGTGTAAATACCCCCACTGTGGCTGACGTGGCATCACTGAGCATGGGTTCGGGGAGTGTGCCTCATAATTCCTCTTGGAAGCTGGAACTCTTGCCAGTTCCTGTGCACCACAGCCTTCAGTGTTACACCATTAGGTAAGCGGGCGGTGGTGTTTAAGATAGTTAGTTATTGAGATTCTTTGGTTTTAAGAAACAGAAATCAGCTGGAGCTGGTCCAAGAAGAAGGTAGTTATTATAAGGAAATAGTCTCAGAATAGAAAGGGCAGGGCGGCCTTGCAAGGGTGGTGGGCAGTAAACGAGGAGCAGATATACTGGGGGCCTCCCTGGGTCCCTGGTCTCTAATTCTCTCTCTACTGCAGGTCAGTGTTCTGGCGTCTCTGGCCCACAGGCAGAAGACTACTGCCCGTCACTCCTGAATGTCCTTTCTCACTGAGGTTCCTGCCACCAGCAGAGACTGAGGTCTTCTCCGACTGGCTCAGTTAGGTCAAGAGTCAGGTCCAGGTCAGTCGGCTGTGGCCACGCAACTTTAGCGGGTCCGTTTGCCGCTGTTCATGATCGCATTGGAGATGTTGGCCTGCAGTAGGACTGACAGGAGGAGACAGGGGCTCCTACTGTCTCTGAAATTCTGTTACGCTGAAAACCTGCCTTCATATTGTGGTCCTCTGGGTTCCTCACCATCTGGGTCCTGATGACTTTTCTGACATGTGTCCTCCCCATCAGTTTTCCATTTACTCACTTTGCCTTCCCATTAGCCCTTGAATATTACGAGCTCCCCTCACCTCAGGGCCTTTGTACATGCTCTTCCAGTGTACGGAAAACGTTTTCCACTGCTCTTCCTGTGGCTCACAGCCTCCCTTCAGTGAAGTCCCTCCCTCAGAGAGTGCCTCCCTGCACATCCTTCCTGAAACAGTCCACTCCGTCTGTGTCTGTCCTCTTACCTGCTCTATATTTCTTCATTATGCTCGTATTATCTGAAATTGTATCATGTATTCAACTCTCTGCTCATGTCTCCCCACTGGACTGTATCCCATGGGTGCAGGGACTTTGTCTTGTTGATAACTGTATTTTCCGTGTGTTGTAGATATTCAAACTGTATCCTTTGCATGCATACTTAAATGAATGAATGAATGAGTTGCAGACATATTGTGAAGTATACACTTAAAAACAAACCTTGACTTTATTTTCAAACAGGTTTTGTTTATTCTGTCTGGAAAAAAATAGTATTTTTTAAAAAATGAGATGTAGTTCAGATTTTTAATGGTCTGACCCTCCCTAATCTAGTCCTTAATGCACTTCCTCCCTGGCCCTCCCTGCAGTATTCTAAATAAGTGAGGTTTTACAGTGATATGTGGAAATGGGCTTTTGTTGTTCATGTGATGCAGGAAATAGTTGATATTAATTATGATTTGATGATCTGTGTGTTTTCCTGGTGAGAAAAGGAGCGGCCTGAAGAGCTGGTGTTTTGTTTTCTGCTTTTAAAGGTTTTATGCAAGCAGAAAACAGTAACCATTTGTTTATAAAACTCTCTCACAGAGGACTCCTGCAAGAGTCATCTTTCGTTAAACCCAGGTAAAGTGACTCAGAATTATCATCAAAATAGGTAGATGAGGAAGAAATGGTTCTGTGCCTGAAAAAAAAAAACAATTGAGAAAGTCACGTTTCCAAAAGTATGCCAAAAAAGAATTTATCTTTCTTATGAAAAACACAGAACAAGAAGGAAAATACTGTTTTCACAGGAAAAAGCATGCATCTGGCCATCGACAAGCCTGTTTTCTTTCCAAGGGTAGGGAGATATTCAGTTGAAGAAAATTGACAACTTTGCCTCCAGGCTGAATTTTACAGTTTTCACTATCATGATTGATTTTCCTTTGCAGCTAACACACTCTGGTAGGGTTTCGAGGAATCTTTTGAGCTGTGGCATTCTCATTGGCGTGCGTGCGGGTCTAGCTCCTGTGTCCCAAGGCAATGTCTAATTCATGCCCTCCATTTAGATGTTTCTATTCCAAGAGCTTTTGGGGAAAATGTCCTTTCTTTGCTGTATAATCAACCTTGTAGATTTCAGACCCTTGGGGAATGATGGAAATGAGAGTGAACAACTGCACAGCTGGAGGGAAGCAAGTGCCTCTCTAATTAACTAGTTAACACATAAATTAATGAAGTCAACAAACACTTAATAACAAACCCCACACCCGATACTGCTCTAGGATGCAGGGATACCACAGGGAGGAGACATGATCCATGCCCTCACATAGCTCACAGGCCAGTGAGCTTCTAGAAGGAGGCGTTGTCCAATTTCAGGTCACAGACCAGTGGGAGGAAAATATGCTTAAGCTCTGCTATCTCCGGCCGTGGGACTTGACCACCCCACTTTGTTTTAAGCCTTTCAGATAAGCCATAATATTCATTAGGAATTGGTTGGACTCTTTTCTTTTCGCAAGGATTTTACTTTTTCAAGAAGGGTGACTGGTCAAACCATTATGTATATCTTTGTAGGAAACATGCCTTCACCTACCACAGAAAGAGGAAGAATACTTCTTGCAAAGAACTGGGAGTAGCTATACCCAGGGATGATCTAATGACCTTTCACCCTTGGAGGAAATGTGTATGTTTTTCTCCTGACACAGCGGCCCTTTTATGTTCTTAGTGACTGATCTGAACGCACGGAAGGTCAAATTCAGGGGGTGTTTCCTTCTGTATTTTTTGGGGGGGGGCAGTTTTCTAAGTAAGGCTTAAAAGAGTGTTTTTGTTTTGCTTTGTTTTAAACTTTTACTAATATCTTAGAATTTTCTGGATGGCATAAAATTATTTTTAAGGTATGCTAAAAGTAAACCCTAATTTTACACAAAAGAAGCTCTTAAAATTATCTTAAAAAATCTAATTTTTAAAAAAGATTTTATTCATTCATTTTTAGAGAGAGGGAAGGGAGGGAGAGAGAAAAGGAGAGAAACATCAGTATGTGGCTGTCTGTCACCCCCCACCCCAACTGGGGACCTGGCCTGCAACCCAGGCACATGCCCTGGCTAGGAATCCAACTGGCGACCTTTCAGTTTTCAGGCTGCTATTCAATCCACTAAGCCACACCAACCAGAAATTAAAAAATCTAACTTTTATAAATGAAATAATTTTTGGACTGAACATTTTTAAAGTCCTTTTAGTTTTAAAGAGTTCTAAGACCTGCATCATACTAGACATTATTCCACCTCTTTCCTATAGCCACTCTATTATGAGATTATAAAATTGCTAAGTCACAAAAAGTGACTTGAGTTTAGTCTCTAATGTAGCATTACTATGACTTTTCTTTAAAAACTCATATCAAATCTACTCTTTCATTCTTTGATTTATAAGATCTAATTTGCTTCTTAAAAATATGGTGTGGGGGGCCCTGGCTGGTGTAGCTCAGTGGATTGAGCACGGGCCTGTGAGCCAAAGGGTCGGTGGTTTGACTCCCGGTCAGGGCACATGCCTGGGTTGTGAGCCAGGTCCCCAGTAGGGGGCACACAAGAGGCAACCACACATTGATGTTTCTCTCCCTCTCTTCATCCCTCCCTTCCTCTTTCTCTAAAAATAAATAAATAAAATCTTTAAAAAACTATGGTGTGGGGGCAAGTGTCAAAGATAGACCCCAATGGACCCTGCTTTGGAATTCACACCCTTTTTCATTGACTGTGATCTGACCAATGAGTCCAACCAACAGAATGTGGTAGGAGTGATACCGAGCCCATTCCATGACTACCCGCTTCTGCTTCCTCCTCTTGGAACATCTTCTTTTGGAGCCCTGGGCTCCTAACTCACTGCCCTGCTGGAGAGACCACTTGGGGACACCACGTGCAGAGGCCTGTGAGACTGTATGGAGAGGGAATGAGGTCCAGCCGTCTGAGTGTCCTGGTCAAGCCCTAGCTGCCGGCTGACTTCAACTACATGAAAGATTCAAAAGAGACGGCAGAAGAACCACCCAGCCGAGCCCCGCAACACACAGAAAAGTGAAACAATACATGGCTGGTGTTTAAGCCCCTAAGTTTTGAGGCAGTTAGCTATGCAGCACAATCAACAAAATATGTCACATGTCTTAATGATAAGGCTCCAAATAAAAAGAAAGTGAATTGGTTTCCTCAGAATAATTCATTTACTAATTTGAAGAGTTGTTACAGGATAGTAAGCATTCAGTGCACTGAGTATCTTGATTAGTGAAGAGCATTCTTATTCTCAATCAAAAAACTCATCAAAAACTGCAATTCTCTCTGTCCTGGTCCTCACCAGGGCTTGTGGTTTCTTCCTGACAGTCCCCAGCTCCTCTGAGTCGGAGCTGGAACTGTCCCAGAGAAGCTGTGCCTGGGCATCTTGTTCTCGGGGCTGCGTCTCTGTTTTACTGAATTTCCGGGGACAGTCATCACTCCCTGCTTGATGCTCTAAAAATTCCGCATTCTGTAGATTTCCTACAAAGAGTTAAAAGTTTGTTTAATTTATTTTTCCTGGACAATATTGTATTTGTTTTAAGTGCCGATGTTTTTATGAACACAGAATAATCTGTTTGCCATTAAAATATATACATACATATAAAGGATTCCAACTGGGAATGTATTAAAGATGTTTTTCTTTTTATTTTGTTAAGAATTTAAATTTTCTGGAAGTCACAAGATTAGTGTAATACATACCTGTGTACTTCAACCCACCAACAGTATTTTTTCACAATAATGGTATATAGTGATATATATTACAGTGTGTGTATATAAACACACATATACATATTGCTACTTTTCAGTAGAAACACTTGAGAATTAAATGCAGAGTCACTTCCCTCCTTCACATACATCACCACAAATCTCCTAAGGACAGGGCAGGAAGGAGAAAAGAAGAAAGAAGAAAAGGATAGGGGATTATTCTTGAATTAAAAAAGACAGAGACAAGAAAAATAAATGCAATGTATGATTCTGGACTGGATCCTGGGTCTTACAAAGAACGCACAAATGGGGAAACAAAAAATAGCTATAAAGGGCATTATGAGGACAACCAGGGATATTTATATATGGGCCATATATTAGAAAATAGTGTGTTTCAAAGTTAAAACTTTTAAGTGTGATAATTGTATTGTGGTTACCTTGGGAAGTTGATCTTGTCCTTAGGAGACAGCTTAAAAAAATACTGAGTAAATAGTAGTACAGGTGTCCAGATAAGGCCAGAATTGCGAAGGTACCATTAAAGTAATGTATTTAGGGTGACACTTCCCGTGAAGCATCTAGTTGTTTTCACTGTTACATATCAGTTCCATCTGTCTTCAGTTTTGTCTATATTCCCATGCATTTAATGACAAATTTCATATGTGCTTTTACACATATTTAGATTAATTTTTACATAAAACCTACATGGTGACATGCTTTATATTCCCATTTTACAGATGTGGAAACTGAGGTTTGCGAGAGGTTAGATAACTAGAGTTTATATATAATCTGTCTATATAGAGAATAAACCCATGTAGACATATATATAGCTAATATTTATGGAGAGGATACTGTGTACCAGGCACTGTTTTAGGAACAAGAGAAGGTCCCTGCTTCCGTGGAGCTTACATTTAGTAAATACACTGTTGGGGCTCCAGTGAAAGACTCTGGCTCCAAGTCCATGGCTTTTCCTACCCACTATATTTGAATCACGGCTCCTGGAAAGGGCAGGAGCCTCATAAACATGCCAGCACTCAGAGAACTGTGAGCCCAAAGAAGTGATGTTCACTTTGTATAAGTTATATATTGTTTTATATATACATATATAAAATTTATTATATAAATATATGCAAAGCATGGGTAATTTCATTTTAAAGAGGCATCAAAAAACAAAGACTGATTTTTGGTTTTGTATTTCACAAGAGACCTGAACTCTCACCCTATCTTCCAGAAGAGGGTACAAGAATAGGCAAAAATAGCATTCAGTAAGAGGAGATGGGTACAGAGGAATCTTAATGAGCAGAATCCGACTAGCAGAATGCTCATGTAAGTCTATGATCTTGGCTACACCCCACTTTTAGGTGAAAGCAAAGTGAACTGCTTTTAGAATACAGGGAAAGAAATAAAAAACTCTCTTTGGGAATAAATAAAAAGGAATCATTGCTCCAGCAGATGCCTACTGCAGTGGTGAAATCTCTAGGCTTTGCAGAAGGCAGCTCTTGAAAGATAAGGTTGAGGAGTCACAACCTCTATATTTGCAGACTTTCCTGAGGTGGTCCTGGACGGAGCTCCAAGCCCCTGGAGTCTTATGAGGCTGTGCAAGGGGGTGGGTGGAAGAGCATGCTTGAGAGGCAGAGGGACCTGGCCTTGAATCTTGGCTCTGTCACATGGGGGCTAATAGTAACTCCTACCTTATAGGTTGTGTGAGGATTAAATGCAATAATGCATTTAAGGGCAGACCACAGTGCCTGGCTTGTAGTAAGCACTCAATAAACCTTTGCCAGAGCAAAATGAAACAGCTCTAAAAAGCATGAGGGGAGCAGAGGAAACCCCCTTTGCCCGGTGTCATAGTCTCTCTCGTGTCCCCCAAATCTGAGACATCTTCCAAAGACTATACCCATGTTGGTTTTCTTGGCCTGACCCCAAGCGATGAGTGTAAGTGTCTAACTATTGCTGAGGCACTTGTCTCGATTGTTTTGCCACTAATTTTTTTTTATTGTAAAAGTTGTTTCTCTATATGACTACACAGCATATTTCATTCTGGGACTTGGGAGTTATAGGTTAAATAGATGCCTCCCATAGATTTTCAATTATTCAGCCTTTTCTTGTTTAATGAACTTATTGATTAAGCATCTTGCCTCTCTGAGCAGGAACAATATCTCTTTCACTGTCTGTTTTGCTTCTTAGAAGCCCAAGATCTCCAGATGCGTGGCCAGCATTTCCTTAGAGCTCTTGGTGGTCAGTCCGGCTGAGGTGGGGGTTTGGTCCACAGATCAGGTGCGGGGGCTGGGTGTGACAGTGGCAGGAGATGAAGCGGGGAAGGGAGTTGAGACTTTGTCTTCAGGGTGATGGAGGCTCATTAAAGGATTTTTTTTTTTTTTTAGCAAGACAGTGAGTTGGTCAGATGTGTATTTTGTAAGACCACTCCACCATGGGTGCATTACTTTTGGAACTTTATTGTGCGTGGGAATCACTTTGGAATGTTTATAAAATGCAGGACCCAATTCAGTAGGTCTGGGGGTGGAGCCCGAAATCCCACATTTCTAATAAACTCCCAGGTGATGAAGACTCTGCTGGTCTGTGGACAGTACTTTGGTTACCAAGTAAACCAGTTGTTCTTAAACTTCAGGAGCATCAGAATCACTGGGGTGGAGGTGTTAAACCCAGGTTGCTGGGCCCCAACCCCACAGTTTCTGATCCGCTCACTCTGGCCAGGGCCCTAACAAGTTCCCAGGTGACGCTGGTGCCAGTGGTCTGGGGACCACGCCGAGAACCACTGAAGTGGAAGGGCTGACGTGAAACGGTGAGAACCTGAGTGAGGAGCACAGTCGTGAGGGTGTAGCCAAAGCCCTGGTGTGACACTGTGACCTAAGGATGACATGGGGAATGGGAGAAAGAGGGCAGGTTTCAGCGCTAGGTGACATCAACAGGACTGTGTGACTGACCAACCGCAAGGGGAGGGAACAGAAGGGCTGGAGATGCCCCAGGTCTCTGGCCTGAGTGACGCAGGGCGTGGAGGCCTCACTGAGACAGTGGGTGCAGCAGGAGCAGGCTTGGGGTCCGTTCCGGACGTTCCCAGTGTGCTGGAGGGGGACAGTGGGCCGGGGCGACAGTGTCTGCACAGGGCCCCAGGCTGGCTGATACTAACTAGCCGTTTAGTGTTTTCTCCACATGCTTCATTCTTTCTCACCACAAGATGAGGCTCTTTTGCCTTTTTTTCCCCTACGGATGGAGGAAGGGTTGCCAATAATGCATGTAAAGTATAGTAAACCTCTAAAAAGAAAGAAACATCTCATTGCAGTGCTTAAACTGCACAATGTGCCCACTATATCCTGGGAGGTAAAATATCAGCAGGGACTCAAGGCTATTCACTGACTGTTCCCTCCAGCCCCCTAGAAGTATGTTTGATGCTGTTGTAAACACTGAATGAGTATGTTATTTTACTGAAACAATTTACATGACTCACCTGCACTTGGGTTGAAGGTTTCATCGGGCAACAAGGTTAAAAAGTCACCGTCCTCATTTCTTGGGATGCTGTGAAGGGTTTTCTTGGCTTTATGTTCCCTCGGTCTCTCCTTATGAATCCTTGCCTCCCTGTGCAGACTTTTCTCCAACTCCACTTGGGTCTGCAAATGATCAGTTACAAATGGTTAAAGTTCTTCCTCCCACCTCCACCCCCAGCTACTTTCAGCCACTTTGCAAGTTGGGTCCTTACCCATAGACCCCTGTGCTCCCTTGCTCAGAACACGGTTCTCTGTCTCCTGGTAGAAGGCGCAGAGACTTGCTTTCTGCACGGGTTTGTTAGGAGAAGGCAGAGTATTCCCTCAGCCTCAGAAAGGGGAGGACTTCTGTAGGAGCATTTCTCTGTCGGCTAGTGGGTATACTGGGAATTGCAGCAGACAGTGGCTTTCGGCTTAATCACTCGAGTGAGAAACTTGGAAAATGAGTTAGAGAGGCCATTACTGTAAGGGGGGCTGTTACAAGGGTCCTTCTTGTTGGAGAATTCTGTGGCACAAGTTGCAGAGAGGCCTGGGTATCAAAGTGAAGGTGAACTCACCCCCTTTCCTTTTACTAAACCAAGAAAAATGATCTACCCCCATTTTCCTGCTCTAGCCAGGATGTCCTAGTCAAGGAAGAGAGACTGGAGGCGCAGATACGTCCTTGTGAGGACTGAAAGCAGAGGGAAGACTCAGTCGGTAGCGGAAGGGACCTTGCTGGCTCTTCCTGACTCCAGCAGTCGAGTCTTTGGACCCAGGGACTGAATTTAAGATGCTAAGTGAAGCCTGGAGGTGAATGCTTCATTATATTCACGTGCAGGGCGGCGGTAATCACGCGGAGTGGCCTTGGTGAACGTGACGTTCTTCCACTCTCTTCACATATTTACCTCTTGTCTTTTACGGTTCATTTCCAGCATTTGCATCTTATGTAAATATTGTCTTTTCCCAGAAGTATACATTGGAATTTGCATCTTTTTTTCCAATCCCTGCTACAAAAAATGACACATTCGTTAGTATGAGGTAATTAGTTACTGATTCTACCATCGACAACTTGAAGTCCTTTTTGGGATACAACAAGATCAACCTTCACTTGTAATTCACAGAGATCTCCGGCGACATCACTGGCGGGCCACTGCAGCCCCCCATCAGTCCGTGGTGTGGCCGTCAGTGAATGAAGTGGACGTGTGCGGTGTGCGTATTGTGGTTTTTAAGGTTCCTGTAGAGTCTTACAGACCTCGAATGGACATACCTTTTCACATCTCATTTTGACGGGATATCACTTCCCCTGGGAACAAATGCCTATTCCTCGCCTCCCAGAAATGTGCTCTGGTTCAGTGAGGCCTGCCCCTCTCTCTCCCTGTCTCTTCTACTACTGACTGACTGTCTGGCTGTGAACTTAGAGGGGAGCCACTGAATGGTTAAGTGGAACCTATTTTCGTAGAGTGTTCCCCCATGTACCAATCTAAGCCCTGATTGTATTGCAGTGTAGGAAGGACTTGAGGTTGATTATTTGTGACTTTGGTTCTCTTCCCCTGGTGAGTCATAAGCGCCAGTGAGACCGTGAAGACAGACAGCTCTACAGGGCAACCGGGGGTGAGTACACTCACCACCAAATGTGTTCGGTGACGGTTCATGTTTCTCTGGGGACAGTGACTGTGTTCGCTGCTGTGAGCCTCAGCAAGGGCCCCCCTCCCCAGGTGCTGCCAGCATCACAGACACAGCCTGAAGGATCCAAAGTACCTGGACATCTTCCACCACAGGAGCCAGCGCACTGCAGTGTCTCACGGGCTCCAGCATGAATCAAGAGTGGAAAGTGTTGTAAATCTGCTCCCACCTCCCATTGCACATTCCCACATGAGGGGGGTTTCCTCGGCAGAGGTGACACATTTATAAAAGGGGAGAGCTCTACAGGAGGCCCTTTCCAGGATTACTTTTTGGTGTGTTTGTGGAAAACGGGTCAGGAACAACTCATAGATATGATTTATCCTGAAAACTGAGAACAGAAAGAAAGATTTAGCCTGAGAGGAAGAAATGAAAGGAATTATGCTGGACTTTTCCACAAATTTGAACACTTCTAGAATCACCAATTTCCAAGAGAAATTCCTCTGTCTCATCTACATCTCTCTGTCTCACCGGGGAATAGGAAAGGACCCCAGGTTCCCCTGAGAGGCAGGAGCAGGTCCCAGCTGGAAGCAGGCCCAGGAGAAGATGGATAGCTTTGGAAAGTTCTAAGCCTGAATGACACATTGGTTTGATTTGCTGTGAAGTCTTCTGTGCAGGGAGTACATGAAAGGGGCAGCCCACCCCCCAGCTCACCACTGTAGTTCACCTTGGCTTTGTGAGTTGTCCTGGCTTCTTGCTGGTTCAGGATCCTTTCGGAAGTAATTACTTGTGGCAGGTCAATGGGTTCAAGCTTCTAGAAGTCCAACATTTAGAGCATTCAGCATTCCTCGTGCCGTGAGATGATGAAACATAAAAGCCAGGCATTAAACTATCTTAACACTTTGCAAAAGCAGCTCCTACTCCTGAGAGCACACCAAGAAGGCGATTTCAACAGGATTATAATCACATCTGTGCAAAAGGCTTTTCAGCTTCTCTGGGTTCTTTATTGTTCTAGGGCACTATTGTCAGTGACTTATTGATCTAAATATTGGTGGGAGAGTTAAAAGACTAAGAATCCTTTTCTATCTGCATTGAGGGACCACATCCGAAGTAATCAAACAATGAGGATTTTAGAGTTTTAGAGATGAAAGAGGCACCAAGAAGTTACTTTATTTTATTCATCTCTTAACCACCCAGCTGAGCTCTTCTGTCCTATTTTTAAGGCGTCCAGAGAAGCTCCCTGAGCCTCCTCAGTAATAACCAGCAGTGCTTATGAAGCTCATGTGAAATGAAAGTGCAGTGCGCTCACAAATTTGAGATGTGACTTTTCCTAGCAAGGGCTTGGTTTTTATGGGGGAGGCGACACCGGAGTTTCTAGGGGTCACTAAGCCTGGGCAGCAGTGGGTGAACCGGTGGATCTGCCTCCAGCCCTCCTTGCCTCAGATGACTTCTGGCTCTGGCAGCTAGAGCCCTGGGCGGTGATTGAGTAGGCTCGGGGCATAAGGGCTGCTCTCGTCACACTGACATACAGTCAAGGACCTGGAGGGTCATGGACTTTATTTCTCCTCTCAGTGAGCGCTTATCGCACAACCACCACATGCCAGGCCTGGGGATACAGTGGTCCACAGAAACGGGCACGGTTCCCCATGGAGCTCACAATCCATGCGGGGAGCAAACACACTTTTGCTCGTGTGATTATGTGATTAAGAATTACAAACTAATGAGTGCGTTAAAGAAAAAACCTCCAGGGCAGGGCTATGGCAATACATACCTGGAGGACTCCATCTTAGGAGTGGGAGGGTATTGTGAGTTGAACTGTGTTCCTTCTCCCAAGTTTATATGTTGAAGTTATAACCCCCAGGAGCTCAGAATGTGACCTTCTTGGGGAATAGGGTCCTTGCACGTACAATTAGTTAAGATGAGGTCATACTGGAGTAGGGTGGGCCCTTAATTCAATATGTTGGTGTCCTTGTAAGAAGAGGAATTTGGACAGACACACACGCAGGGAGAACACTATGTGAAGATGAAGGCAGACATGGGGGTGATGCTTCACAAGACAAGGAAAGCCAAAGACTGCCAGCAAGTCACCAGGACCTAAGAGAAGGCATGGGGCAGGTTCTTCCTCATAGCTCTCAGAAGAAACCATCCCTGCCAACACCTTGGTATCAGACTTCTAGCTTCCAGAACTGCGAGACAATGCATTTCTGTCATTTGAAGCCACACGATTTGCTATACTTTATGAATGTAGCCCTAGAAAATGAATACAATGGAGAGAGGGGTGAGGAGACCATCCACAGAGGTTTCCTGAAGAAGCCATCTTTTAGCAGAAGTTAGCAGGTTGGGAGTTTTAAGGGGACTGAGGTGTCCCAGGAAGAGAGAACAGCCCCGAGGTAAGAGAGTGTGCGAGCTGTTGAAGGGACTGCAGGAAGTCAGTTGGCTGCAGCTGGAGAGGAAGAGCAGCTCTGATGAGGCTGGAGTCGGAGGCCGGGGCCAGGTCATGCCCAGCCTGATGGAGGGGTGAGTATCAGATGTTAGTTTGTTAGTTTTCTTAAGACCACGGGCAGCCATTGGCACAGTAGCAAAGTAGTGACATGATTACATTTGCTTTCAGCAGACGATCATTGTGGCTGCAGTGTGGAAACTAAACTAAACTACTGAGAGCAGTCAGGAGGACAAAGATGATGGGTTGGGATTCGTGGAAGGATGCAGGTGGGCTCCACGAACATTTAACACCGACCAAGCAGGATTCATGACGGTTGGTAAGGGGGAGTGAAGCGTCCGGATGATATTCAAGTATAAGGGACAGATAGTGTTACCTGTCCCCGACATGGGGAACTCTAGAGGAGGACCAGGTTAAAGTGGAACATAGCGGGAAGGAACCAATTCAGTTCAGAGCGGGTTGTGTTTGAGAAGCCTTTGAGATGAGCCCTGTGGATGTTGAGTAGGCGCTCAGAGAGACAGGCACGGTGCTTGGAGGACGGGTCTGTGCGGAAGATGCGTGTGTGGGGATTGTTCCTGGGTAGAGAAAAACTGAAACCATAGTCGTGGACGAGGTCAGGAGTGAGAAGAGCAGACCCAAAAGCCCAACACTGAGGGGCTGTTGAACAGGGACACAATGGCCAAGGAGACTGCGAAGTGATGGCTCAGGAAGCAGGAGGAAACCAGGACACCACGCTGCTGCAGCAAACGTGTGAGCACAAATCCCTTAGTCCAACACTAGAGGCAAATGCTAATACACGCATTTTAAAATCCTTTTCACTGCAGTCCAGTCTGATTTGCTGTGTTATCAAGGGGTAGTCCTGGAAGCCAGTGTGGCTTTCAAGGGTGAAAAGAGAGAGGGAGAGACCACGGGAAATGGGTGCTGAGCACCCAGCACTCACAGTGGGGAGCATGACATGGTCCCTGCTACTACCCTATGGAATTGTTTCCTGGACCCTCGGCCTGGCCTGAACCTTTCTCAGGAGGGCAGCCAGCATTTCTTCCTGCTAGAGCAGCCTGACGTGAGGAAGTGTTTTTGTTTGTTTGTTTTTTATCATAATGGCTTATCAAGGAGTAACGAGAAGTGATCAATACTAGTTAGAGAGGTTTGTCTGGCTCTCTTCTCTGCAGAACATTAACGTACAGAGCAAATGGGACCTGCTACACAGGAAGAAGCCACTGGTCCTGAGGGGAATGGAGTAGAAAAGGAAGGAGAAGGGTAAAGGAATATCCAGGCATATATGGAATGGGGAATCAGTAGTAACTGAGGACAAATTTGGGGTTGAGGAAAGAACAAGGAAGTATTTATACCGTCCCCTGCCTTGGTTCATGATTCAGTTCTTTCTGGTGATTAGGCCCATATGCCTGTGTGGCCACTGCTGTCCATCATGCTTGGGTCACAGTATGTCACCTTATTCAATTATCATGGGAACCCCGTGAATGATTATGATGAGTCCCCACGTCAGAGAGGTTAATAATGTGTCCGAAGGTGCATAGCTGGTAAGTGGCAACTCAGGATTGAAGCTCAGGTCTGTCCAGTTCCAAATTTCATGCTTTTTTCTTTACTTTTTCCTACATCTGGTTTTATCATTAGAAACTCTTGGAATTAAAAAAATCCTGTGCCATTCATTGGTGATTGAGATTCAATAGGTCTGGTCTATGTCCTGGCAAAAAAATACTCATATATATAGTATATATACATGTATGTATATTTAATTAATACACTTTATTTTTAAAGCATATTTAGGTTCACAGAAAAAGTAAGCAGAAAGTGTAGAGCTCTCATATACCTTCTGCATCTAAACCCATTATCAGCATCCCTTACCAGAGTGTACATTTATTACACTTGATAAACTGGCACTGACTCATCATCATCATCATCATCATCATCAACATCCTAAGTCTTTAGTTTACATTAAGGTCCACTCTCGGGGTTGCACATTCTGATGGGTTTGGACAAATGTATAATGACATGTATTTACCACTGTAGTGTCAAATAGAGTAGTTACATCACCCCCCAAATCCTCTGTGCTCTGCCTGTTTATTCATCCCTCTTTCCCTCCTTACCGCTGGCAACCACTAATATTTCTATCACTGCCTCTATAGTTTTACATTTTCCAGAATGTCACAGGGCTGGAATCAAATAGTACGTAGTCTTTTCAGACTGGTTTCCTTCACTTAGTTTTCACCATGCCTTTTCATGCTCGAGAGCTCATTTCCTTTTAATGCTCAATAATATTTCATTGTCTGGATATATCACAATTTATTTCTCCTTTCACCTCCTGAAGGACATCTTGGTTGCTTCCAAGTTTTGGCCATTATGAGTAAAGCTGCTATAAACATCCACGTGTAGATTTTTGTGTGATTATGAGATTGCAGTTCATTTGGGTAAATGTCAAGGAGTGTGATTGCTAGATGATATGCTAAGAGTATGATTAGTTCTGCAAAAAATCTTCCCACGTGGCTGTACCATTTTGCATGCCACTAGCAATGGATGAGTTCCTGATCTTCCACATGCTCATCAGCATTTGGTGGTGTCAGTGTCTTGGACTTTGGCCACTGGAATATGTACGCAGTAGCATTTCACTGTTGTTCTAATTTGCAATTTTCCAATGACATATGGTGTTGAATATCTTTTCATATGCTTAGTTGCCAGTATGTCTTCTCTTATATTCTCATTCTCTTGACATTGTCTTTCACAGGACATAAGTTCTTAATTTTAATAAAGTCCAGCTTATCAATTGTTTCTTTGGAATATACATTTTTCAAAACTCTCCAGGGCATTCTGATGATTTCCTAGAGTGGGGTCTGCTGGCCTCCATATTGTCTGAAGTGAACGAAGGAGCTACATCCAAATAGACCATAGTGGATTTGTTTGTGGAGCATAGTGAAAAACCAAGTCTGAAGAAGCCAGCTATTTCAATATTTTCAACTATTTAAAACATAACCTATCCATAAGTTCTTTGAGCCAGGTTTTCCTGGGAAAGAATTAATATATATTTTTCTATTTTCAGCCTCATTTTATTTGATCCTCAGTTCTGGTAAGGGTTAAGTAGTAGGTGTCTTGAAGTCCTCTATCCAGACCATTTCTTCCTGACCGTTGAAAAGAACCTGAAGGCCCACACTATTTCTCCACGAAGGACACTAGGTGGCAGCAGCTAACACTGCAAATAGGATCTCTAGGTTAAGGCCCTTGGACTTGGCCTGAGAAGTACTGCAGATAAAATTGTTGGAAAATCGGCCTCTCTAAACAAATAATCAAGTGAAATTGCCTTGGAATTCTGGCTTCATGTTATGTTCCTTCTCCTTGCCTGGAAAACAAGATGCCTCATTTCA